CAAAGGGTTAATGAATATACTCCTTTTTTCAATGGAATTATTTAGTTTCTATAGTGTATCGCAAAATAGGTGCTAAAAATAGGGCAAGCACCTAAACATTAACTATATTATCGTACAATGATATAAATTTTGTCTAAATGTCATTAGTCAGACTGTATAAACAAATTGGATTAAAAAAAAGAAAGTAATCGATCTTAGAGAGGAAAAGAGCCAGCACTTCGGGTGTTTGAAGCTTATGGAAGAAGGCTGAGAGAATGGCCGAAACGTAGTTCATTCTTATCTCTCATTATCTTTATTTCAGCCTTGAAATTTGGTCGTTTGAAAAATGACCGGACGACCTACCAAATATATATATAGTATACGGAGATATACTATAGTAGAGGTGTATATATATATACTATATAGAGTATATAGAGGTATATTATAGTAGAAATCGGTATAACTTTAAACCGCGCGATCTCGGAAAGCCGGAAATGTAACAGACCCTTATTCGAGATTCGCATTCAATTACGAAGTTCGAATTCCATTACCGACTTCTTCGGAGATACAACCTGTCCCCGGCGATAAACCACGGCTCGAGGTGTAACAGGTAAGCCTTGTGCAGCAGCTGGCTCTCAGACCGCTGAAAATTTCACGAAGAGGAAGCGTCGCCTTCGAGGCCGCAGTTTTTACGGTGTTGTTTGTTATAATGATCAGCTAGGGCTGTTGGTGGTCGCCATCAGGATCGTTTTGCGTCATTTATTGTGATTTCGATTCGTTTAATATTACTTTAAGCAATTCATTTGTGCTTTAAGATTCTCTTCTAGTTATTAAACATTTCGATCGAACAGAAATATTAGAACGAATACGTGACATTAATCGAAATAGGAAACAAGTTTGCGAGTTGGTTACTTGCGAAATTAAATTGACATTTTTTTATTCGATATTTTTCATAAAACTATGATACTTATGTCTCGATTCTCATTATCGTTTTGTTAATTTCTAAATAATATTACACGCTACTGTGAAATAAATCTAACAAATAAATCTAGCTGTGTTTGCTTTATTTTGTACAGACTTTTTTTTAATAAATATTCCCGAGGAATTTGTTCCCATGGAACTTTTAACATACAGATTTCAAAATTTTTTTATATTTATTGAATAACTTGCCAGGAAATAGGAAGTCTTTTTTATAAAAGTTCATCAGGAAGGAATATTTTGGTGAACGAAACATTTTAGTACAAATAGAGTACTTGTCAAGATGCAAGATACTTGTTTATTTCAAACCCTGATAAACATGGTGTCTCATAATTATATTAACATCCGGAAAGGAGTGATTCCTGAGGTCATTTGAAGTAACTTTTTCCTTAGCGAAAATACAATCCGCTGCTTGGTTTACGAGTTATTAACGAAAAACACTGACCAATGAGAGGCGAGCTCCCCTAGCGCTAGGCGGCCAAGCCAATCAGCGGAACTGGACTTCGACTGCTCGTTGGCTCGGCCGCCACGCGCCAGCCGAGCGCGCCTCTCATTGGTCAGCGTTTTTCGTCAATAACTCGTAAACTAAGCCGCGGATTAGATTTTCGTTAAGGAAAAAGTTTCTTCAAATGACCTCAGGAATCAGCCCTTTCCAGATGTTAACATAATTATGGAACACTCTGTATTACCTATAATATGGATATTTGATCGGACCGAGAACGGCACGATGCTAGCACGGCACTGTGAACGTGACATAAAATAATCGGACGGAGACCGTCTCAGGAACGGCTCTACAATATGTCTCGCCCCTTGATTATCTGAGAAATGTGACTCCGATCATCGCTCGAGAGTATTTGTTTACCTTCGCTGGCTTGGCTCGTTGGACCGCGTATAGGAACGGCGGCACAGGTATCTGTACACGTGATCGCACGATCTCACTTTGTCCTTGATCGCGACCACGAGGAATCGATAGGTCACGTTGTCGTTGTCGCGAGCGACGTCGGCGGAACGCGACCGGAGATAAAGCCGCTCGTCGAGAGACTTGAGACGTCTACGAAAGAGCCGGTTCGAAGAAAGTGTATCTCAAATTTTATGATCGCCGAATACGGCGTTCGACGCCCTTATCCCGGCTTCGCAGGATCAAATCGTAGCAGCGGCTGACTGAGGACTTTCTCGATGGAATTTCTAATGCGGCGAGTGTTCTATGAAGATGTGCCAGTGTCAAAGGGATCTTGCGGCCCTTGGAGGGCAGCATCAATGGTTTACGAATTCTCTCAAGGGCTCCGAGGCTTCCGGATACCGCGGTGGATTCCTCCGAGAACAAGCAGTCTGTTCTTGATCAGAGTTCTCTTGTACAGTCGTGGTATTTTCGAGAACTGTCCGATATTAATGTACACATTTTTGTCATAAATGCATAAAATCCGCAGTCCACTAAACAGGTATGCAGAGTGTCCTATAATTATGTTAATAGCCGGAAGAAGGTGATTCCTGAGGTCATTTGAAGCAACTTTTTCCTTAGTGAAATTGCAATCCGCGGCTTTGTTTTGGAGTTATTGACGAAAAACGCTGACCAATGAGAGGCGAGCTCGGCTGGCGCGAGGCGGCCGAGCCAATCAGCGGAACTGGGCTTCGACCGCTCATTGGCTCGGCCGCTTAGCATTAGGCGAGCTCGTCTCTCATTGGTCAGTGTTTTTCGTTAATAACTCGTAAACCATGCAGCAGATTGCATTTTCGCTAAGGAAGAAGTTATTTTAAATCTCCTCAGGAATCATCCTTTTCCATATGTTAACATGATTACACCCTGTATAAGATATAATAGGAAATGTAGGTTTCATTAACCTGGAAGCCATGCGAAAAGCGGTATTTATTATTCGATGTAAGAGGAACGTCTTCGAGATAATCGATAGATTGAAAATTTGTATGTGCTTCGATCCGGACATAAAATGGTTTGCAGTCCAAATTTTCAGCTTTCCGCTAGTCAAACACACCCGTTTGCAAATCAAATTCATCCTTTCGAATCCACCTTCCCAAACTCGATTAAATTCACTCAAGCTTTTATAATCAACAGAAAATTTGTGTTAAAGTGAAATAACATAAACAAACATATAATATATCATTAGAGTATGTAATTTATTTGTAAATTGTTTATCCTGTTTACTGTTTTGTGAAGTTAGTGAAAATAATGGCGTTCTTCAATCCCCAAGTGCTTTTCTTCCAACAGAAACAAGTAAAATAAGTTTGACCAGCTTATAAGGTCCGCTGTGCGACCAATTTGCTCGACACAGCATCGAAATGATTGCGAAAACCCACGTAGAAGTACTAAAATATTTACCCTTACACTTTCTTTCGTATGGCCAAACGCCGCTCTTACAAGGGGAACTTACGGTCGTGGGATTCGCTTTTGAAACGAGAGCAGGTTACAGTTACAGTACATATCTAATAGCAAAATGTTAAGTACAAAAGTTACATGTTTTCAAACCGAAAATACAACTATTATAGTTTCTCTTCGTTGATCGGTTTAAAGGTCGTTTGGAGGATAACTTTGTTTCTTCAAATGGAAAACTGTATTTTACTTACAGATTTTTATTGAAATATTTTTTCATCAGATCTCATCTTACAGAGATATTTAATAAAATTGACAATTTTGTAAATGAATAATCGCAGTGTTATTTATGGTTTGGAGACGCAAGCCACTACTGCGACTATTTATGTTGCAATAAAAGCAACGTGGAAAAGTGAAATTGTTATTGATTCATCAGCATTCAGTTATAAACAAGATAAAAGAGTTTCATAACTACACGAATTGTCCATAAGTAAACAAATTTTTCACTTTATTAAATATCCCAGTGAGATAAAATTGATTCTTTTTTGAAATCGAGTAACTCTCTCTCTCTCTCTCTCTCTCTCTCTCTCTCTCTCTCTCTCTATTCCTCCCGAAAATTTGTTGTTCTCGTGACATCTANCAGGTTACAGTTACAGTACATATCTAATAGCAAAATGTTAAGTACAAAAGTTACATGTTTTCAAACCGAAAATACAACTATTATAGTTTCTCTTCGTTGATCGGTTTAAAGGTCGTTTGGAGGATAACTTTGTTTCTTCAAATGGAAAACTGTATTTTACTTACAGATTTTTATTGAAATATTTTTTCATCAGATCTCATCTTACAGAGATATTTAATAAAATTGACAATTTTGTAAATGAATAATCGCAGTGTTATTTATGGTTTGGAGACGCAAGCCACTACTGCGACTATTTATGTTGCAATAAAAGCAACGTGGAAAAGTGAAATTGTTATTGATTCATCAGCATTCAGTTATAAACAAGATAAAAGAGTTTCATAACTACACGAATTGTCCATAAGTAAACAAATTTTTCACTTTATTAAATATCCCAGTGAGATAAAATTGATTCTTTTTTGAAATCGAGTAACTCTCTCTCTCTCTCTCTCTCTCTCTCTCTCTCTCTCTCTCTCTCTATTGTATTAAAAATTCCTCCCGAAAATTTGTTGTTCTCGTGACATCTAGATTTCAAGTTTTCAAACGAGCATCCTGTACGTGTTATCTACACGATCGCGTGCAAACTTGCGATCGAAACATCTTAAAAAAGAAAGACCGTTTTAAAAAATCCCAGTAAGCTTTTTTTAATATTAACTATATACCGTAACATTAACCCGCTCTCGTTTCGAAACTCGCTCTCGCTTCCCACGACCGTAAATTCCGCTTGTTAGCGAAAATCGCAAAGAAACGACGCACCCCGCGTGGATCCATCGATCAGATTCCGAAAATGAAATTTCCGGCTGCGCGAAGGTGAAAAGCTGTTCCCCGTTCAATTCGTGGAGCATCCCCCGCGATGGGACATCGGTTCGCGAGCGAGGAGGGCCGGTGATCCGAAGCAAGCAGGGAGAAAGGGCCGAGGGTCTGGCTTTAATTTAATCGGGCGAGTGGCGTCAAGGATCGGCGGGGGGCGCCTGCGCAGCCGTCGTACGTCCCTGGACCACCGACCGCCTAGTAGCACGCGTCGACGTCGGCGTCGTGGTTGTCGTCGTGGTGGTGTACGTTGTCGTCGTCGCGACGCCCAGTGACCGTGCCGCGATTCTCGAGCAGTGCGCGTCCACACGTCGCGACGACACGGCTCCTATCGTCGGTCCCTTCGTCGGCCACCGGTGACTTTCGATCCGTCGTCGACGACGCTCTCGAACGCGTTCACCCCTTTGTGCACGTGACACTGTTGCTGTCGGCGCGCATAAATCATCTGCGTCCCGGCACCACCATCTCGGCCAGCGTCCCTCCAAAACAGCGTCCACGGCTTGCACCGCGATGCCACGGACACGTTGACCCACGCTCGACACCCTCAGCGATCACCGAAGGTAAGGGTGAACAGCCGGCGTCCCACGCCAACGCTCCAAACCACCCTAAACTTTCGAATTTACCGGGTCACCGAGAGTCGTCTCGCGGTTTCGGTCGGCGGGATGGAATTTTTGGGACGGTTCCGTTTACGAGACGAAACCCTTGCCCTAACAGCGCCGTCGGGATTACTATGACTACGCATTCTTCGGGTCGTAAGAATTTCTTGGACAAAAGAGAAAATTTATGTTCGTTGCGTGCCTACGTTTACGTGAGTTCTTAAATATATTGCTAATAAAAGAGAACAGAATTTTATTCTGGCTTTAAGGGACGAAATAACATTCTTAACGTTAGTAATATCAAACCAGTCATAATGACCAGTTTCTGATTTTTCACTTCACTGTTCCTGATATTGTACGAATATTTCTATTAGAATTGTTTTGGAGAAATTGCTTTATCCAAACATGTATTGTAATATACATAAAATAACAGAAAGCGTGCGAAATTTAAATAAATACAATTTTGTCATTGTCATAGAATAATGTACATTGTTTGTATTTTAGGGCAAGGTAATTCTATTGTTAACAGGTTATTTTGTTTTATTATTAATTGTTAGAAATCTCCAATACGAGTCAGGGGTTGCCAAGAGGTTAATTAACCCCTCGTCGTACCATTATCTTCACAGTTACGTCAATTAAAACTTATTCGATTGTAATAATTTCATAGAAAAGAAAGCAATTTATATTTATCGTGTGCCCGCATTTGTTCGAATGTTAGAATATCGTTAATAATAGTACAACATTTTATTCCGACTTTAACAAACAAAATGACATTCATACCTAAGAGTTTATTATTGGACATCTTCGTCACGAGTCGGACTTGTCCAAGTACGGCAAAGGGTTGATAATATACGTTCGGATTTACGACTATTCGTCAACATTTTTTCAATAATATTCTCAGGGTAGTTTCTGCAGTAAATGATAGAACGTTGTAGATCCTTCGAGCACGTGTGATCAAGCATGATCTTGAATACAATGATATCGTTCCCCGAGAAGAATGAAAATAGTTTCCCTCCATGAACCGGATTTTATAAGCATCGAATCTTCGTGTACATTTCGATTCTCGAAGTACAAGTCTATTCACAGGTTTCGTACCGTATTCACCGACGTTTCTGCGTGGCATGAATTGAATTGTATACCGTTCGTGTTTTATGTACATGCGGAAAGTTCTCTTCACAAGAAGTTGATTGATGCTCTCGACTCTCTGGTGGTTGTTCAGTTGCTAGAAAGAATTCCGAAGCTCCTTAATCATTCATCGAACGAATGATGCGAAGCGGTTTCTACGCAATGTAAATTTCATTTCACAGCGTTCTTCGAGCGCGGTAGATTCATCTTGAACATGTATGCAGGAATTTGTGCAGGAATTTGTGCAGGAATATGTAGGATTCGTGCAGAACATATGCAGCACTTTTATCTCGATCATTATCGAATGATACATTGAAAAGATTTCTCGGATTCTTCAACGGTAGGACGAATGAAGGAAAAATCGAACTGAATTTTATTTTTACCCTCAAGCAGGCTGACGATTTTCTATCTTGCTGTTAAGAACGAATAAAAATACAAAAAGTTAGTAAAACTGTTTAAGATTTTGATTGCAACATTCGCGACTTTTTTGTCAATACCCTAACAGGTGGAAGTTTGGTTCAATTTTTAGCTGTGACATATACAATATGAAATTCAATGCGAACGAAGATACTATCGTTTTATATTATACAAATTATTAAATAATTATTATACAAATTATTATACAAATCCCAAATAAATATGTTACCGAGATGAAGATTGATAGTGTCAAATAACGTTTTAATTTGTATTAACCACTTGCACTACGATATTGAGTCAGACTAGCGACGAACATTTCACACATAATTTACTAAATATATCAAACCTAATATTAAAGTCTAAGAATAAAGGTAAATGAAGAAATACAAGAAACAAACATTCTCTCGTTCTACCAAGGAAATTATTAATGACAAAAAATTGCTAGTTAACGTAAAAGAGATCGTAGAGCAATAGGTTAATATACATTAATCACTTAATGTTTGTATATCTTAAATTTTAAATACATAATAATTGATTTATATTTTCCGGCAAAAGATGGTTCCATTTTACAATATTTCTCAGATAATACACGTGTATCGAAAACAACGGGTACCCATATATTACCTCTTTATTTCGATACACGTGTACCCAGGTACAAAGGAGTGTACGGCTGAAAACACGGATACATTAATTACTCGCTAACGCGTGCACATCTGAATCCTTCGTACGCGTTCTAAGTCGTGATCTCTAATAAACCCGTTATGTCGCAACAAAGTCCCAAACATGACTAGCTAAAGATCCGACATTTCATGCGAGACTAGCATAAATATATGTTCCTAAAAAAAGAAAGTCGCGCGTGAATAATTCATACGCTTATAGCTGATCGTTTTGCGTCGTTCGCGCCATAAATATTGCACGGGCCGCGTCCGACGCGCGACGTTTGAAGCTTCCTGTCACCGTCGCGCGGAATTTCTATCTACAAGCTTACTCGCGCGAAACGTCGCCGCGTCGGCTGATCGATACCGAGGGAAAAATTCGTCCGCGGCCGAAAAATTCCTCGCGATGGAAATCTTGGACGCCGAGCGGCGGCGTCGCGACGCGCCGCGTCGCTGCGTCCCCTCGCGTTTCCGCCGCTGCCAGCTTCGTCCCGTCCGTCGACTGTGCTCCACGCGCGCAAGATTATTAACAGAGAAAAGAGATTATTAGAAAGAGAAAATTGGCAGAAATTTTTCGGCCAGGGAAATACCGAAAAGAAAAGACCAGAAAACACCGTTCTCTTTCGGTGTTTTTAGGCCCCGCGTGATCTCGGCGCTTCTCTCCAATCGGCCACTGCGTTGATTAAAGTAGAAACGTACTAATGTCAACGTCACGTGAAATCACGTGAAATCATGTCATATTTGAAAAATACGAGCTTACGTATTTCCATGGCTTTAAATTTATTAGCAACAGACCAGGATCACGTCGCGCTGTTCATATGTGGTCACGCGTGATTTCAATTTCTCGTGACATTATGCAGTAAATTCTCCTAAATTATCCCTCAGCTTGTATATGATTTATCATTTATAATTATAAAGCGTTTATAATTTCAAAGTAATTTTTCTCTCCAACGGAAACGACCGTGTTCAAAATTGTTTTGGAAACTGGAAATGTGACTTTTATGTGTTACATTGTATTACGTTACGATGAATTATGTAGGTTGAATTGATGATGATATAGAATACTAAATTTCGTAGAATATGAAATTTTTTATTTCATCTGTCAAATTAAACTTGATGCTTTCTCACACGTTTAGTAAGGATTTCTTCCATTTCGTATTGGGATTCCATGATTTCGATTTCAAAGTTCAAGAGCTCTTGCAATAATTTTTGAAATGGACTAGGATAATTATATTTATTTATATGTGGGCTTGCATAGTTAGTTAGTGTGTGTAATAATTTGAAATGGACTAAAATAGTTATATTTATTTATATATGAACTAAAATAGTTAGAAACGCAATAGAAGTGGACAACTTGAGAAGAAGAGATATATTATTTATTATTATAGGTATTTCCAAAATATTTTATGAGTATTTGTAACTTTGAAATCCAAATCATGAAAATCCAACAAGAAATACAAGAATTATTTATTGAACGTGTGAGAAAGCATCAAATTTTATTTGGCTTAAGATCAAATAAAAATTTTTATATCCTACGAAATTTGGTATTCTTCTCTTTTGCAATATTTTCAATTAAGCCATGCAGGAATTGAAATTCGTCTTTGATCAGCCTGAAATATGTATGAAATCCACTAGGATATTCTAATTCTCTTACTAAATGGCTATATTCTTCCAAATGTTCCCTCTTCGCATTTATTTTGTGCACCCAAGATCCACGTCCCTTATTCTGTCAAATTAGAGATGCTGCAATATTTTTTTATATCTTTTTCTCAATCGGATGATGTAATGCCCGAGCTCTCATGCTCCATCGTAAACGATGCATTACAAAATGGTAAAATTGTTACAGCTTCACGGTAGCATGTGACTTCACGTAACAATATGTTTATATCAATATGTTTTTTTGTTTTCTAATAACGCCATGTGCTATCACATGATTTCACGCAATCTCACGTGACACGACATTGCTACGTTTCCACCTTTGGCAGCACTTCGTTGTCGTCCCCACCACCGCGAGAAGCATTGAAATCGCACGAGACCTAACGACACAGTGCCGCGGGCACTTGTTGAAAAAAAGCTTTGATATTTTCGAGTTGCTGAAAACGTAAAACACACACGCGGGGCTCTCTATCGGAAAACAATTTCTCTTCGGAGGATTCGGAACTTGTTTTGATGTTGCGTCACACGGCGCGGCGGACGATAACCATTAAGAATGAAATGAAATGTGAAAAAGTATGAACTTTTAAATTGAAAATAGCTCTGCAACTTCTTCATTTGTTAATGTTAATATGTATAATTCATTGCTGTACCCTTGCTTGTTCCAATTATAAGATGAACAAGAGGAACAATTTAGGCTATTGGAAATCATTTATAATTTCAAAACAATTTCTCTGTTCGGTGAAATGACCGTTTTCAAAATTGTTTTGAAAACTGGAAATGCGACTTTTGTGTATTACAATGATCAATGAATTATGTAGGTTCTATTTATTAACAGGTTCAATTTGTTAACTGGTTCAATTTCTCATATAATCCACAACGTGAATAATGGTATCTGCATAGTGGGGCCAGTTACTGCGTTTGTTAAACTATTTATTTTTGGGTATAATTAACTTTCTACTTGTCGAATAAGACATATTAAATTTCTTTATTCTTTGATTTTCTTCATTTTTGAAGGAAAAAATTGAACATGTCTTATTCGACAACTATAAACTTAACCGTCCGTTAATTATTACGAAAATAATTAATACTAAAATGATAATACTTTCATCT